GACCCCCGGGAATCACCCTGACCGACCCAGGGACCCCCGGGAATCATCCTGACCGACCCAGGGACCCCTGGGAATCACCCTGGGACCCACAGGAATCACCCAAACCAACCCAGGGATCCCCAGGAATCACCCAAACTGACCCAGGGACCCCCGGCGCCGCCCTGGGAACCCTGGGAATCATCCTGACCGACCCAGGGACCCCCAGAGTGACCCTGGGACCCCCGGGAATCATCCTGACCGACCCTGGGACCCCCGGAATCACCCCGGGAATCACCCTGACCGACCCTGGGACCCCCAGAATCACCCCGGGAATCAACCTGACCGACCCAGGGACCCCCGGAATCACCCCGGGAATCACCCTGACCGACCCTGGGACCCCCAGAGTGACCCTGGGACCCCCGGGAATCATCCTGACCGACCCTGGGACCCCCGGAGCCACCCTGGGAACCCCGGGAATCACCCTGACCGACCCAGGGACCCCCAGGGATCACCCTGACCAACCCAGGGACCCCCAGAGCCACACTGGGACCCCCGGGAATCACCCTGACCGACCCAGGGAACCCCGGGAATCACCCTGGGACCCCAGGAATCACCCCGGGAATTACCCTGACCGACCTTGGGACCCCCGGGAATCACCCAAACTGACCCAGGGACCCCCGGGAATCACCCTGGGACCCCCAGGAATCACCCAAACCAACCCAGGGATCCCCAGGAATCACCCAAACTGACCCAGGGACCCCCGGGAATCACCCTGACCGACCCAGGGACCCCCAGTGTGACCATGGGACCCTGAGACCGACCCAGGGACCCCCAGGAATCTCCCAGAGTGACCCAGGGACCCCCCAAAATCACCCCCCAGCCCTGGAATCTGCCCCATGAACACCAAACCACTTCATAAATCCCCCCAAACCACCCCCAGCCCCCTAAATCTGCCCCATGAACCCCCAAACCACCCCATACCCCCCCCCAAACCACTTCATACACCCCCAAAACCACCCCATAAATCCCCAAACCCCTCCCAAAATCATCCCCCAGCCCCAGAATCTGCCCCACGAACCCCCAAACCACCCCATAAACTCCCCCAAACCACTTGATAACCCCCCCAAAGCCCCCCGAAATCACCCTCAGCCCCTAAATCTGCCCCATGAACCCCAAAACCACTTGATAACCCCCCAAACCCCCCCCAAAATCACCCTCAGCCCCGAAATCTGCCCCATGAACCCCCAAACCACCCCATAAACTCCCCCAAAAACCACCCCAAAATCACCCCCCAGCCCC